AGGGAAATGAAAGGCCACTGCCACAGTTTGAATGCGTGCCCCAAATCTTCTGGGTTGGAACCTCAATTCCCAGTGATGTTGGAAGATGGCACCTGGTGGGAGACATGGCACTGGGGAGGAGCCCTCACAAATGGCGTACAGTCGGAGCAGTGGGTGGGTTGACAGAGAGCTAGTCCGCCCTCCTGCTTCGCCTCTTTCCAGCAGGCAAGGCAGGTGCCATGTTGCTTGATGTCCCAGGCTCCAGAACAGTGAGCTGACCTCCCTCCCTCTCCCTTCTTTTTTTTCTTTCTCCTTCCTTCTTCCCTCCCTTCTTTCTTCCCTTCCTTCCTCCCTCCCTCCCTCTCCCCTCCCTCCCTCATTCCTCCATTCCTTCCTCCCTTCCTTCCCTCTCTGCCCCTCTCTTCCTCCTTCCTTCCCTCTCCCTTTCCTTCCTTCCTTCCTCCTTCCTTCCCTCCCTCTTTCCTTTCCTCCTCCTTCCTTCCTTTCCTCCTTCCTCCCTTTCTTCCTCCCTCCTCCCTCTCTCCCACCCTTCCTTCCTTCCTTTCTTCCTTCTTTTCTGTCTCAAACTCCAAAGTGCTGGAATTACAGACATGCACCACACCCAGCCACCTTCTCTTCTTTGTGAATTACCCAGTTTGGGGCATTCTGTCATAACAACAGAACACTGGCAGGACAGAGGCTTAAAAGTCTTTATAGGATGTAATTCCCTATCATTCATCCTTGGTATGGGACCTCTTCTTAGACAGAATGAGCAAAGTAACAGCTTGGAGGACAGACAGGGACAGAATTAATTATGATCACACCTGTCTACTCTAGACTGCAAGTTCCCAAGTTTCCTGACCGTACTGCATCAAATTTGTTTCTGTTTTTTGTGGTACCAGGGCTTGAACTCGAGCCTTCTCCTTGAGCCCCTCCACCAGCCCTTTATTGTGATGGCTTTTCGAGATAGGGTCTTGTGATCTATTTGCCTAGGTTGTCTTCGAACTGTGATCCTCCTGATCTCTGCCTCCTGAGTAGCCAAATTTGTTTCTTTATCCCAGAGGACAGATCAAGACAGGTGCTGTCTGGGGGGTTGGTACCATGGAGGGGGATGTGGGGAAAGGGTGTGGGAGGGTGAATATGGTACAAATACCGTGTACATGTGTATGTAAATGGAGAAATGAGACCTGTTGAAACTGTCCCAGGAATGGAGGGAGGGGAGATAAAGGATGATCGAAGGGATGAATTCAAATATGACATATTTGATATATTGTAAGAACTTTTGTAAATGCCACAGTGTACCCTTACCCAGCACAACAATAAAAAATTATCTAAACTAAATTTATGAATATGTAAACAAATGTTAAAACAACAGAGGTGAATATAGGTAACTGAAAAAAAAAAAAAAAGACAGGGCTTTCCAATGTCTGAAGAGACCGAAAGAAAAGAGTAAGGGGGAAGGAGAAGAAAGAGAGGGAACAGGGCAGACATGGAGTCTGGCTGAGCCTCTGTGCTCCCCCCCCCACCACCACTTCGCTTCCTTCTTGATATTCTGCTTTTAGGGCATGAAAAATTCTCTTTCCATCTGGAAAAAGACATGGGTCTGGAGGAGTCAGGGAGTCCTATTTCCTTTTTCCAAAGTTCTGAGTCCGGTGGCAACTGAGTTTGTCCTCTTAGCTGTCACTTAGGAAGCCTTGCTTTAGTGTTCTGCATTTGAACCCATCCCTAGGTGTCTAGAATCCCCTGCTCAGGAGCAAGTGCCCACCGGGGTCTGATGCACGACGCAGACCCAGACGCTGGCTTTGGGTTCCTTGCACCCCTGCCAGCTTTGGCACACACCCAGCAGGAACTGGCTCCATCCTGGGTGTGCCAAGCACAGTCCATCCAACAAGGCTTTTTTTTTTTTTTTCCCCAAGTTGGCTGTTCAGGCCCCTTCCTCTTTAATTTTCATATTGGGTGTTTCTACAGCAGAAACTGATGTCACAGGGCCGCGTTCCAGAGGCTGTTTTGAAATGAGTGTAACCATGGCATTGCTGGAGGCTGAGGAGCCCGTCTGGGCCAACTGAGTCACACCCGAGTGCAGGGCTGCTCGGTGGGGGAGGAGCGGGAAGGGCGGCCCAGGGCAGGGGCTGCAATGTCCCTGGGGAAGGAAGCAGTGGGCGGCCTGGCCTGCCGTGCATATGGGGACCAGCTGTGGCCTTTGACCTCTCATTCCCAGCACCTTCGATTAAGAGACAACCTGGCTCGCTTAGATGGCACTACCAGCTTTAAGGATCACCTCAAGTCAGAAAGAAAGATGTGGGACAATGTCCTTGCTTCTGTCCCTCGAGTCAGACTTGATCCATCTCTGCAGGTCACCCGTCGCTCACCCCAGCAAATTATCTCCAGCCCCTGAGCTTGGCTCATGTCCACCTGTCCCTCTCAGAGCCATTGGGACGCCCTGGTCTCTACAGTCACCTCCACCAGGTTACCATCCCTAAGTCGAGCTGCACTCATGACTCCCTGTCCTATCTGTATCTGTCGGGGTACAGATGTGACATCAGCATCCTATCCCTGTCATCACTAGCTGATAGGAGCACAGTGACACTACATCGCTTGCCTGTTGTGGTGGGGGGAGATGTGGGGAAAGGGTGCGGGACTCGGCAAATGTCACTGAACTCAGTGATGACATCATTACTCAGGACCAGGGTCACAGCCCCCCAGATAGGAGCTGATCAAGCAAATGACTGTGTGCACGGCGCTGGCCCAGGCGTTCACCATGAGTGAGGGTCTCAATTTCACAGGCGAGAAGATCAAGGTGCAGAGAGGTGAAGCAAAGTGCCCAGGATTCATGGAAAATTGATGGTCATCCAGGACAGATTAATGAGCCCTCACCCCTTGCCCCTGTGCACACCGGGGTCCCCAAGCTGTGATGACATCATTGTCACTCCCTTCCTAGTGGGAGAGGAGCATAGACAATGAGCTGTGAATTTTTTTAAAGTCCAAGTATGCAGCACCTCAGAATCACAAGGAAATAAAGAAGATGACATTTGTTTTTGACCCTACCCCTACCTACCTACCCCTGTCGCCTGGCTTCTCTAGGTGTCCAGCCTCCTGTGGCTGCACAGGGGCCCAGCAGAGCCCAAGCACAAGCCCACAGGTGTCCTCATCTCCATCTTGTTCCCTTCTGGAATTCCCTCCCACCCCTGCTTGAGAAAACCCTGCGACTTCCAGCATGTCTCACCTTTTCCTGGTCACATCACCAACTCCACGGCTGCCCTGTGGGGACGTAGCACCTCCTCTTCTCCGAGTCGCTCAAGCTAAAACTTGCAGATGCAGCTGACCCCTCTTCTCTCTCCCCCTCTTCAGCCTGCCACCCACAACTCCTGCCGGCTTTGCCTAAAAGTAACCGCACCCTGACCCTCCTCAGTGCCTATGACCCTCACTCTGTCCAGACCACATTGTCTCTGGCCTGGAGTACAGCTGGAGCCCCCAACATGTCCCCTGCATGGTATTGCCAGTCTCCACTCGGCAGAGTGCTCTTTTTTTGGTGGTATTGGGGTTTGAACTCAGGGCCTCACGCTTGCTAGGCAGGTGCTCTACCACCTGAGCCATTCTCCCAGCCCTTTTTGCTTTACCTAATTTTCAGGTAGGGACCGTGGTCCTCCTACCTATCCCCCTGTGTAGCTCAGATTGCAGGAGTGGACCACCATGCCTGAGTTTACTCAAAAGATAAGGATCTCACCAACTTTTTGCCTGGAATGGTGGTAAACTGAGATCTCTGCCTCCCCAGTAGCTGGGATTAAAGGCATGAGCCGCCCTGCCAATCAAAGTGTTCTTTTGAAAACAAATCTGACAGTGACACTCCTTCAACCCCCCCGTCTCTAGTCTCCGTGATGCGTCTCCAGCTCTGCACGTCACAGCAGAGGAGCGGCCTGCGCCCAGTGGGACCTCAGGGTGCTCTTTACATCTGGAGAGCATGGGGTGAGCCCTCTGCACACCTTGTAATGTCACCTGAGTCATTTATTATGTAGAATTGAGTAGCGATGTCCCTTCTGACAGAGGCCATGCACACAGGCCTTTCCCAGGTGTGGGAACGCCTCCCCTGTCTGCTGTCCCACTCTTCTGGATGCCGAAGGCCTTGACTATGGGAGAAACCTCCGGGGTTGGACTCCAAGGTCCAGGGCTATCTAGACCCTTGGGAAAGCCCTCCTTTGTGAAACAACAGCAAGCCGCTGGAGAATGAAGTCTTTTAATTGGCCCAGGTCTCATCTGCTTGGTAAAATCATGACAATGACAAAATTGAGATAGAATCTAGCAGAAAAGAACGTGTTCTAAATTTTGGCAAGACCCCAAATACTATCTCACACACACACACACATAGAGAGACAGACACACACACACGGACACCCAATTCATATGTCCCCTTGACAACTTCAGCATCACACTTAGGTTAAAATTGGCAGAGACACTGGAACATATTCAGTCAACACTCAGGAGGGAAACTCACCATCTTCCTCCTGCCTCTGCCTCCCTGACCTGACCTCTCCCTGTGTTCAGGCCCTCTGCGTCTGTCTCTATAAGTCTACTGGGCAGATGTCTCTGCACCTGTCTATGATAGGCCCAAAGTGCTTGCCTGAGGTGAGATCTTTCCAGTCTGACTGTCACACCTGGCATTTTTCACCAGGGATCCAGACTCAGGATCTCATGTGTTGACTATCACATCTGGCATTTTTTACCAGGGATCCAGGTTCAGTGTCCAGTGCGTTGATATGAAAAATGCACCTGGCATTTTTCATCAGGGATTCAGGCTCAGTGTCTCTCCCACTGACACAGCATCTCACTGAGCAAAAGTGTCAGTTGAGCCTGATTCACTACCACAATCATTATCACAGCTCCAGTGCGCCTGGCCTCACCTCCTTCTTTACTGTTCAGAATAGTTAACTCTGGCCTCCTGAATTTTAAACAAATGGATTCAAAGACAAGTTTGCAGTACCAGACACAGCCACAGGCCCTTGCAGCCGCTCAAACCCTGGTCATACCTTCATGAAGAACATCCTTCTGCAGCCCTTGCCACGGTCGCCTGCAGCTGCTTGGACGTGAGTGGCCTCGGAGGCCAGGGTGAGGTCGGGAAGGCTGCTGAGCCCGGCCTCCAAGGTGTCCGCCAGCTGCGCAGGGGAGTGCACAGGGCCCGGCTGGGCCTGGCCCAGGGACATCTCCAGGGGGTCTGGGAACTTCTCATCGAGGCTGGAGCTGTCGTCGCTGGTCTTGGCATTACAGAGGATCAGGGAGCGAGAGATGGACCTGAATTTTGTGGATTTCCGGCTCTTTCCAGGACGGCCATGTGGCTCCATCCTCAGGGAGGACATGAAACTGCCCGTCTTCCTTTCCTGCTCCCGGGCCTTCGGCTGACGGCTGGTGACTGAGCAGGGCTTAGCTGCCACCTCATGAGTCCCTGAAGGAGAAAAAAGGAAGAAGCAATATGACCGGCTGGTGACATGGGGAGCTGGACACGGGTCCTAGAAGCAGGAGTGTCCAGGACACAGGGCAGATGCCCAGTTCGTCCTCCAGGATCCCTGGTCCTTCCAGCTTGCAGCCCAATGGGGCTCAGTGAACCTGGGCTTATGGAGACTGAGTCCCAGAGTTTTCCCTGTCCAAACTCTCATCCTTCAGGCAGGGAAACTGAGGCACAGACAGACGTATAACCCATGATGCTACCATCAGAGTCATGTCAGAGAGTGGGCATCGTGGGGACCAGGGCTTTGTCAGGTCTCAAACTGGGAAGCCAGTGTTGAAATAAAACTCCAGTCTACACAGCAGACCAAGGAAGAGACCAGTAAGAGTCAGCCATTTGCCTTGTCCCCTTTTCTCTCCTTGGTGACTCCATAAAACCCCAGGACCCCGGGGCTCAGCCAGTGGCCACTGAGGCCTCCTTTCCCCATCCACAGACACAAAGCCCAAGACCAACACTGGGAGGTTGGGGGTGTTGCCCAACACTGGCCCACTGGAGCCCGACATGAGTGGAGAAGGTGAAGCGTGGCCGGTGCTCCCCCAGGGCTCAGCACATGACAGGCTCTTGGCAAACATGTCCCCTTCCCTGAGCCCAAGGTCACACTCTGACCAGTACACCAGTCCAGCAGAGGACCCTGCCCCATCACCTGCCCCACCCATTGCGCTTCCCAACCTGGGTCCCTCATCCGTCCACCAGGCTGTGCTCAACCAGCCCAGCCTCACCAGGAGGCTCGTGGATTCGGTCTCCACGAGGCAGGTGACAAAGGGGACCCTGGTGCTACCTCTGGAGAAGCCATAGAACAAAACCATTGCCAGCAAGATAAACTGTGGGGTGCTCTTGGTGGCTGAGCCCACCCACAAGGGAGGTGGCATTTCGTGACACGGAAACCGCACAAGAGTGTCAACACTGAGGCTGCACACCTCTGTCCTCTCTGTACTAACTGTACTTCTACCATTGTACTCCCCAGCCCACAGCCAACAGCAATCACAGCAATGAGCTAAAATGATGAGTGAATATTTGAAAGCCTAAACGCGTCAGGCCCCACACTTGACACTTTAGTATAAATTAATTCTGTGGGATATTGGCCCATTTCGGTCAATAGCCCACAATCCTGTGTTCAAGGTCCTGCCAGCTCAAATGTCAATCAATTCTCCAACCCTGGCACGTAGTGGTCACAGATCTCCACACCCTGCAGGAGTCTCTTGCATCTGTTGGTGACTGAAGCCCTCGTGGCCACCAGCTCTGATCGCATGGTGCCGTATTTCCACAATGGCCTCAGTAATTCTTTCTCAACGATGGCTATTTCAAAACTTCCCTGTGGTGTCAAGACATTGAAATGGCCTCACTGTCCAATCTACTGGAGCCCCATCAAATCCTCATTTTACAGACGTGATGGGTGAAGCACAGATCAGTTAAGTAACTTTCCCAAGATGACACAGCTGGGACTCAGAGGAATTATCTGACTCGAGCGTGGAGCCTCTCTCACCTTTTACCCCAATCTCTCCCTCTGAACCCGATCTTTACTGTCAGCATGTGGACACCCTGAAATCTCGTCTTTTAAGACTTTCGCCTGTTATCCTCCCCCAGCTGCTTGCCTTCCTTTCCCCTTACGCATTTTGTCGCTAGCCCTCCACCTCTTCCAGCCTCAGCTTCCTTCCCTTGAGCCCCGGAAACTGAGCTCATCAGTTCTGCGTGGACGAAGCCCAGAGGCGTCATCTACTTGGTCAAGACCTGCTTGCTTTGAGAAGACCGGTCAGCGGTCCTGATGGATGTCAGAGTCCAGCTCTGGTCTGCTGCACTCAGATCTGTTGGTTGGGGATGCGGGGGTCAGGTTCAGAGCAGCTCTGTCCTTGTCACCTGCCTTTGGTCAAGATCCAGTACTAACTCCCCCTCTGCCACTGTCCCCGACAGGGGAACTCTGCTTCTTGCCAATTTAAGTTCTAGGACCAGCAACCTTCAATGCAATGCCACCACCAAGCACCAATGTCCAGGACTGTCTCTCATTAAACCCCACAGTTCACCTAGGAATCACAGAGAAGGAAGTGTGGGTGTGCACAGGTGTGTTCGTGTGTGTGTCACAGCTGCCACTGGAGTCCATTAGCCATTTGAACGTTTGAAAGATAATCAGTTTTGTCTTAAAATCCTTTTAGAATTTTTCTGGTACTAAACAGAAAAGCTGTAATATGAGTGTCCACAGGTTGCCGTGTGGAGAGGGCTGCCGGAGAACACAGGAGGTGCAGAATTCATGGAGGTGGGGAGGGAGATGGAGAAAGAAGAGGAGAAAGGAAGGAGGACAGAGAAAGTGTTAGAGGGACGGTGTCCCAATGCTGGCACATGCAGCTAGATCCAGCTACACCTGAAGCCCTGTCTATCAATTCGGTCATGTGAGCCAATCATCCCTCTTTTCCTTTAACAAAAAAAATCCTCCGGTATAATGGTTCTTCTCTCTGATGCTACACCAGGAGGCATGGAGAGCAAACGCGTTCAAGGCCTGAGAGAGCATTTTTCTTATCCCACCCCACGCCTGAGACGAGAGCCAGCCACCCCCAGTTGAGGCCCGAAACCTCCTCCCATCCGCACGGTGGTGCTGGGCTCTCATTCCCTGGTCCTGCTGCTGTGTCTGTGGATTTGTGGGGGGCAAGTCCAGTGCGTCCTCCTCCTCCTCCTCTCCTGTCCTCCACAGCTGTCCTGAGGAGGACACTCATGGGGCATTTTCCAAAACAGAAACCTTTTGGGGACCTGTGGGGCCAGGTTCAGGGCCGTGTCCTCACTTGGGGTGCAGGACCTGCTACCTGTAGGGTAGGGAGAAGAGAGGGGTCTGATTCCTCAGTGGACACTGCCGTCCTAGGGGCCTCTGCAGGGCTGTCTGATGAATGCTGTCAGTTTTTAAAACCAAGCTTTCTAGGGGAGTGGTCACTTCTTCAGCTGGGCTCTCAGATGGGATGGGACAGGGACACAGCACAGGACAAATGCTGACCCTTTGCTTAAGAGCAAGGTCCTGTTTCAAAATGAGCCTTGTTATTATAGAAAACGTCACAAAGGAAAAGAGCAGTCACCCAAGGGCTGAGGTGGAGAAGCCAGAACTGGACTTGTATGGAGTCTGCCTTCCCTCCAGGCCGAGAGAGAGAGAGAGAGAGAGAGAGAGGGAGAGAATAATTGGAAACAGCGCTGTGCAGTCACATGGCTCCGCTTAGCTCCCACAAATGCACTGGGACATTCATGGAACCAGCATCCGCAGAGCCGGGAGGCGGCTGTCCTCCTCTCCACTCCCTTTGGAAGGCTGGAACAAATGAGCCTGTCCTCACTTTGTCCTGAGCTCCATGACCGCTTCCCAGACTCCTCGTCCCTGATGGCTCCTCCACATCATGGTCCTGAGGACTCCAATTCGGTGACTCTCCTTCTTTCCTTCCTCCCTCCCTCCTTCTTTCCTTCCTCCCTTCCCTCCCTCTCCTTCCTCCCTTCCCTCCCTCCTTCTCTCCTCCCTCCCTCCTCCCTCCCTCCCTCCTTCCCTCCCTCCTTCCCTCCTGCTTTCCCTCTCTCCTTCCTCCCTCCCACACTGATGAGCAGCCCTGTGTTTCTGCCGCCACCTCCACCTGGGGAAGCTTCTCGCTCACTTTAGGGCTGAGCATTAGGTAACCACATGAGAAGGAACTGGTTGAAGACACATGTTTCAAATCCCTTCTCTGGCAGTGCCTGTGTCAACGGAAATTTTTAAAGCTTGGTCACTGCAGCCCCTGGGGGACATTTTTGAACTGAAAAGTGACTCAAAGATAAGAAATGTAGCATCCTGGCTTCTCTTATGTGAGGTTCTTCCAAATGATCCCACGGGGCCTCGCAACTTGTGTCTCTACGCGTTGTGCTCAGGACCACAAAGGCACATGGCACCCGGGCCTCAGTTTCCTCATCTAGTCCACTGAGGTTATGCCTGTCACTCTTCTTCCTCTCCCCCATTCCTCCTGGAGGGGACAGACTCTGCCTCCTTAAAGTTGTGTCCCTAGAGCTCAGCTAGCACAGTGGGGAGCCATTCGTGTGCTCAGTAGACCAATGGGACAAGCTTTCCAGCATGAATTGTGTTGAGGACGCCATCTCACAGGAACACAGGAGGATGGAGTCCAGGTGACAGGCTGCCAGCAGTGACAAGGAGACACCGAGGACTGGCCTCAGAGCAGAAGACAAGGCTGAGCCATGAGGAGAGATGTCTGCAGGCCACTGCTTGAGAGGTCCTGGGTGGGGGACCACTGGCCCTTCAGTGGTCTGGAAGGTGACCTTGTAGCATGCAAGAGTGGCATGGGCACAACAAGATCCAGGCCCTGGGACACAGGACCAAGTAGGACAGTGACATCCCCTTCAGCACGTGTGACCTCCAAGATGGTGGTGTGGAAGCTGTGACTAGATAGACTGATCGTCCATTACCACTCTGGAGGGGCCGGCTGAGGCTGGGTCCTGTGAAATCACCATGCTGGCACTGGGGTGTCACACATAAAAGGCACAGAGGAAAGCGGTGAGCCATCAAGGCCACAGGGAGGTCCAGTGTCTTTATGATACAAAATGCCAGGCTCAGATGCCGGTGTTGGCTTTAGCGTGACTGCAGGACCTGCCACCTCTCATGGGTTCACACGTTAGGGCCAAGCCAGTCATCCAGGAACGCAGTGCCAACCACTGTGGATCTGAAGAAAGGGGCTCTGAGAGGAACTTCACATGCTCTCAAACAAAAAATACTCAAAAAATAGCGGACACCAAAAGCCAATGACAGCCCAGCTTCCCCTTAGGAGGAGAGGGGGAAAATGAGAAAATGCTAAGAGAATGGAAACAGCCTAAACTTTACCTATCACTGGGACACTGGGTTAACTACATGACAGCACAAACAATGGAAT